CAGTATACATACAGACCTCTGTCTCAGTATACATACAGACCTCTCTTGTCTCAGTATACATACAGACCTCTCTGTCTCAGTATAAATACAGACCTCTCTGTCTCAGTATACATACAGACCTCTCTGTCTCAGTATACATGCAGACCTCTCTGTCTCAGTATACATACAGACCTCTGTCTCAGTATACATACAGACCTCTGTCTCAGTATACATACAGACCTCTGTCTCAGTATACATACAGACCTCTGTCTCAGTATACATGCAGACCTCTGTCTCAGTATACATACAGACCTCTGTCTCAGTATACATGCAGACCTCTCTGTCTCAGTATACACACAGACCTCTCTGTCTCAGTATACATACAGACCTCTCTGTCTCAGTATACATACAGACCTCTCTGTCTCAGTATACATACAGACCTCTGTCTCAGTATACATGCAGACCTCTCTGTCTCAGTATACATACAGACCTCTGTCTCAGTATACATTCAGACCTCTGTCTCAGTATACATACAGACCTCTGTCTCAGTATACATGCAGACCTCTCTGTCTCAGTATACATACAGACCTCTCTGTCTCAGTATACATACAGACCTCTCTGTCTCAGTATACATACAGATCTCTCTGTCTCAGTATACATACAGACCTCCGTCTCAGTATACATGCAGACCTCTCTGGTCTCAGTATACATACAGACCTCTCTGTCTCAGTATACATACAGATCTCTCTGTCTCAGTATACATACAGACCTCTCTGTCTCAGTATACATACAGACCTCTCTGTCTCAGTATACATACAGACCTCCGTCTCAGTATACATACAGACCTCTCTGGTCTCAGTATACATACAGACCTCTCTGTCTCAGTATACATACAGACCTCTCTGTCTCAGTATACATACAGATCTCTCTGTCTCAGTATACATACAGACCTCTCTGTCTCAGTATACATACAGACCTCTCTGTCTCAGTATACATGCAGACCTCTCTTGTCTCAGTATACATGCAGACCTCTCCTGTCTCAGTATACATGCAGACCTCTCTGTCTCAGTATACATGCAGACCTCTCTTGTCTCAGTATACATGCAGACCTCTCTGGTCTCAGTATACATACAGACCTCTCTGGTCTCAGTATAAAATGGGCACAAACATTGTCGTTTCTAATTACAGTTGCCATAAGTTCTTTCTGCCCAGTGCTTATATCACAGGTGGCTGAGCAGCAGGAGCTCCAAAGATCTGAAGCAGAGAGCCAAAGAACCAGCCCTGTGCACTCCCCTGACCCCCATAGACTCCCGCTGACCACTGCTGACCGATGCCGACAACAGACTGTAGCAGGAAACACACCAAATCGGATCAAATCATGAAGAAATAATGAATAGATTACACATGATTCAATTAAAAATGAAATGAAATGAGTGCAGTGTGGGTTCTGTGGTTTTGTTAAATAACCACAGAACCCACACTGCAGTGTCTTGAGGACCTTTGCTGTTTTCCGTATTTTTGTCTAAATAGACATCTTTAAGAAAAAAAATATAATTAAACCAGACATAATCACAACACAAAAGAAGAGGGATACTTTAAAAATCCGGGCTCCATGACATCAATATGTCCCAAGTTTGAAAATAAACATTTTGACATGGTTAAAAGGTAAAAAATAAATAAAATTAAAACTATTTAGAATATTCTGTGTGGTTTAATGCAGGGTGTTAATGAGGCGTCCGTGGTCACAGAGTGCAGTAGAGCCCTCATTAACAGGTGCTGTGTTGAACTTGGACCTGTGGAAGCTCCTGAGGGGGCGTGCATCTGCTGTGCCCTTCTGTCCCAGGACGCCCTGTCATGGGGTCAGACAGTTAGCAACATCTTCCAATAGATCCATGCATATTTAGTTTGATACATTCAGTTTTTTGAGAAGGATTGTGTAGATCTATTCTGTGTTTTTATGCTAGGGGTATTATTATCTTTTATTGATTCTTTCATATTGGTGTAATCCTTTAGTGTCCTGTCTTCGAGGTTTCGGCGCTTGCAAAATTTTTCACCTGCCACTTATCGCAGCCCATTACTCAACATTAAAAACATACAAATTAAGATCTGCTGCTGTACAGTATATGTATGAGGAGACAGTTTGAAGAAGAAAGCCATGAACACGTTTCTATGAGCAGTCAAACCACTGCTAGAGAACTATGCTAATTACTGATACATTGCCCACAGATGATTTGATGTATGTCATGTATTTTTTTAAATATTGTTTGTTAGATGAAATATCCTTAGATACAGGGGTTGTATCAAATAAGTTTAGGACCAGGTATTAGGACTCAAATAATTCTGTAATGACTGCAGAATTAAATTAAAATTACAAAGTGTTTTTAATCAAACAAACCAATATACAGGTCAACTCTATGAAGACGATAGGGCATCACTTAAACGACCACTAAACACCAAATCAACTTTTTTAAATGACAAACTGCATAAATAGGTTTCTTATAGTCATTTTTTTGACATTTTAGTGCAAATTAGATGCAATCTCACTTTTGTGCCTAAAACTGTCTGTGTGGCGCCCTCTCCTCTCTATTTGGATTTGGTCCTGGCCTCTGCATTGACTCTGCAGTTGGTGTGTGTGACGTGCGTCTCTCTGCGCCTGTGGTATAAACCCATCCAAGTCTCACACACTCCCCAGTTGGAGTATTCTGGCGACATCTTGTGAATTAAAATTAAATTAGATCAGCTGACCGTCACTACTGCTGAGATAATTCTGTGGCTTAGGTCGGGCTGTCTAGCTCCACTGTTATCTTAGAGTGTAAACTAAAGTGACATGAGAATTTCTGGTGTGTAAACGATCGCTTTAAGCAGCAATGACAACTGTCGGATTTTTTTTTTTGACCACGCCCAACTCTAAGCCCCCCTTCATGTCCCCTGGTCCTCGGGCAACGCCCTTTTTACAGAGAATTTTCAGTAAGTGGAGTAAGGCTGGGCACAGGTGTTTAGTCGTTCTTTAATCTTTGTTTTGGTCAAATGTATAAAAAAATTCCATAAATCCCAACAACTAATCGATGAATCCAAATTGACCAACTAATCGTTCATTAAAATAATTGATCATTACAGCAATACTTTTGAGACTTCCAAAATAGAAAAAAAAAAAAAAGTTTCCCAATCATTTAGCATATAGCATCTTTTGCACACACAAATAAAGTAAACACAGATACAATTGCATGTTTAAGAGCCGGAAAACAAGTTCCTCGCTCTAAAAACAGTGGTTCTATCAAGCATGAGGTTTTCATCTGTCACATCTTTGGATCAGCGATCAAGTCAACCTGAAATGTCAGATACTGACTCACAAGGCTCTTATTGCCAAGTATAGGCAATTGTCAAATAGATAAAGGCAGCAAGTTGTGGGTAGATTTCTTCACAAAATGTTTCTTTTACAAACCAGGGTCTACGCAGACATGGGGAGAACATGCAAACTCCACTGAGAAAGGCTCTGTTCCGACCGGGATTCAAACCCAAGATGCCAAAAGCCTTTATTTTTTCATTAAACCTTATCGGATTTTTTTGAAAATATATATTGAAATGCATGGAAATGAAAGGACCCAGTATCTAGATACACACTGTATTGTGTCATACATTTCAGGATAAGTATCATATCAGCAGGCTCTGAAAGGTACCCAGCCCTGTCCAGCAGAAAAGCTTATCAATGTCTTTCATTCATCAGTCTTTTCATCGACATCACAACTCACACACTCGCACACACACACACACACACACACACACACACACACACACACACACACACACACACACACACACACTCACAACTCACACACACACTCGCGGTGCTTCCACAGAGGTCAGTGCGACTCTGTCCTAACATGCTCCATAAACATTAACGTGGCAGTAAGTCCAATCCGACACGGCTGGCCCGCTCCGTTAGCCCGCAGAGGAAGGGGAATCCTTTGTACCATCATTTCCGTTCCATCGCGCACGCAGCTTGCTTACAAGGCCCTTCTGAACGCAGCCCGGCATATGCTAGGCCACTTCTAATGGGCATTTTAACGAGGCTGTAATGTTGTCAGCTACACAGAAATGTGCATAGGTTTACATATACAGTAGGGTTTTGGTTGTGTTAACACTTAACACTTGTGACCTGCTTCTGAAGTGGTTAATACTCAAATTACATTTACAAGGGCCATTCCGAAAGCCTAATTGGTGCAGTTGTAAAAGCATCAAGAGATGGGGATTGTGTTCTGAAAGAAAATACTTTTATTTAAAAAAAAAATCTTGCAGCTATACAGGCAATCTTGATTTAGGCAAACAGGTTTGTTTGTTTTTTAACCAGGAGAAATATCCATCCATCCATCCATCCATCCATCCATTTTCTACCCTTTAATCCATTTCTGGGTCAGGGGGGTGGCAATCAGAGATGCCACCCAAGTCTCATAGCACCATACATATAAAGTTTACAATACAAATTCCCTCACCGATGCAGAATCCCCAATCATGTTTCTGGGATAATATCTAAGGCTGTACTTTGACGGATACTGTCGGACAACACCTTCACTGTTTTGTAAAGAAGATCCGGGAAGCTAACCTCACCTAAGCCAGTGAGTGATGGTTCACATTTAGATGATTTAAAAATATGACTTGAGTGTTATTGTTAATTGTTAAACCCACCACAAAAGTTTGTACATATTAACTTGACCAAGCAATGAGTGATTGATTCCTTCATAGTGAAGTGAAGGAATCCTTTGAAAACTCAGAACAGAGATCACAGACTCAATGAATGTGAAACCCCATTACAAAGTATTGACAGCAGTAAGTCACTCCTACTTCCTGTCTCTGAATTCAGCTGTCTGACACTGTGATCATTTAACCACATTGTTTTGAACCACACAAAGCTCTTGTGTTGCCACTATCTTTGAGCACTCAGTAGAGTGTGTCCACACTAGTTCAATTGTAGTCAGACTTCTCCAGAGACCCCCTCAGACTTTATTGCCAGTCTACACCCAGCTTCAGACCTGCAGCGTCACAAAGTGCAGCAGCGTCACAAAGTGTTGGCACGTCACAAAGTGTTGGCACGTCACAAAGTGTTGCAGCGTCACAAAGTGCAGCAGCGTCACAAAGTGTTGGCACGTCACAAAGTGTTGGCACGTCACAAAGTGTTGGCACGTCACAAAGTGTTGCAGCGTCACAAAGTGTTGGCACGTCACAAAGTGTTGGCACGTCACAAAGTGTTGCAGCGTCACAAAGTGTTGCAGCGTCACAAAGTGTTGCAGCGTCACAAAGTGTTGCAGCGTCACAAAGTGTTGCAGCGTCACAAAGTGTTGCAGCGTCACAAAGTGTTGCGACGTCACAAAGTGTTGCAGCGTCACAAAGTGTTGCAGCGTCACAAAGTGTTGCAGCGTCACAAAGTGTTGCAGCGTCACAAAGTGTTGCAGCGTCAAAAAGTGTTGCAGCGTCAAAAAGTGTTGCAGCGTCAAAAAGTGTTGCAGCGTCACAAAGTGTTGCAGCGTCACAAAGTGTTGCAGCGTCACAAAGTGTTGCCACGTCACAAAGTGTTGCAGCGTCACAAAGTGTTGCCACGTCACAAAGTGTTGCAGCGTCACAAAGTGTTGCAGCGTCACAAAGTGTTGCAGCGTCACAAAGTGTTGCAGCGTCACAAAGTGTTGCCACGTCACAAAGTGTTGCCACGTCACAAAGTGTTGCCACGTCACAAAGTGTTGCAGCGTCACAAAGTGTTGCAGCGTCACAAAGTGTTGCAGCGTCACAAAGTGTTGCAGCGTCACAAAGTGTTGCCACGTCACAAAGTGTTGCCGCGTCACAAAGAATACATTTGTTGCTGCCTCTCGAGAATGAAAGAGAAAGATCGTTCTCTCACTAAAGTTTGAGGGAATCAATAAAAACTACTTTGGGAATGTGTCTGAAGGCCAACTAGCACTGAAATGATGTTTGAAGCAGAGAAAAGTCAAGGACCTTTAAAGGAATAGTTCACCGTTTGTACATACTGACATATGTTCTTACCTTACCTTAGACTAGTTAATATGTACCTGTCTGGTCTTAGTCCGTGCGCTCTGTCATGCAAACGGAGCAAAAACGGGAGCAAAACCGCAGCCTCCTCTGGTCACTGTATAGTACCCAAAAGGTAGCTCCCGCTAGAAGCTACCAAACTCTTCCAAGTGTTCCCTATTAAATGTATATAGTTACGTGACATGTTACACTGCAAAGTATAGTAACACAGAAATGTAACAGTCGATTTTCTCAGCGGATAAAACGGGTACTATATTGTGAGGCGTAGTAATCTGAGGTGCGCTACGTCCGCGCACTAACTTCTCTCCGGAGACTTCTCTCTCGCTCACTTCCGTCAATAGAAGCAGCGTGACTTGTAATACACACAGTAGCAGCGAGAGAGAAGTCTCTGGAGAGAAGTTAGTGCGCGGACGTAGCGCTCCTAATTTCTCCGCGCACTAACTTCTCTCCGGAGACTTCTCTCTCGCTGCTACTGTGTGTATTACAAGTCACGCTGCTTCTATTGACGGAAGTGAGCGAGAGAGAAGTCTCCGGAGAGAAGTTAGTGCGCGGACGTAGCGCACCTCAGATTACTACGCCTCACAATATAGTACCCGTTTTATCCGCTGAGAAAATCGACTGTTACATTTCTGTGTTACTATACTTTGCAGTGTAACATGTCACGTAACTATATACATTTAATAGGAACACTTGGAAGAGTTTGGTAGCTTCTAGCGGGAGCTACCTTTTGGGTACTATACAGTGACCAGAGGAGGCTGCGGTTGTGCTCCCGTTTTTGCTCCGTTTGCATGACAGAGCGCACGGACTAAGACCAGACAGGTACGTATTAACTAGTCTAAGTAAGGTAAGAACATATGTCAGTATGTAAAAACGGTGAACTATTCCTTTAAGGTGTTTCTAGTAGGCACCATAAGTAAAAAAAATGATGTCAATACAGTATTTATGGCCAATTATTCTTGTTTAATTAATGTATTTATGTTTCAAAACTGTATTCCAACAGTGTCACACGGTTTTATGAAGGTGTCACAATAAGTTGTTAGAACAAAATAAAATGTTGAGGGACCCCAGCTTGCGTTCTTGTCACGTCGCCATTATCGATGTCCGTGACAACATTGTTCTTAGTTTAAGATTGAAACCTAAGACCTTAGTTGTTCTCTTCCTGTAACATTTGTAAAAGTAGAGAGAGGTGTGTGAGGACTGTGGGTGTGTATGTGTGTTGATCAGAGCGAGGGGCGTATCAACTCTGCATATCAATAATACATATATTAATAATACAATGTAATCTGCAAATAAAACCATGTGAAAGGAGATGAGTGTGAAGATCCCTGGTTTAGAAACACATACAGTCTGTGAGACGGAAATCTTCCATTTGGTCTTTACCAGAGAGCACCAATCATGAAGTGTAATTCTCTGATGGGACAAAAATGTGACAGTGGAGGAGCCATTCGGAACTTCAATGAGGGCTTGGTGGCCATGTTACAGTGCAATTTCTTACATGACTTCACTGCGTTCACACTGCACTTGACTAAAGACTTCTTCAGAGCAACAACATGGCTCTTTTGGACCAGCCTTTGAGCATGAATCATGTTGATGTGTGAATATTTCAAATGTATGTCCTGTTTAAAGCTAAAATGTGTCTTCCTCTGACGTGTTTTCATTTCCCAAAGCTGCCGTTCCATCTCAAGCCCAGTTTCATAGCACACTAAATGAATCTTCCATGACTGCAGGATACTCCCGCCTCTGAAACAACTTCTTCTACCGTAATGTTCTTCCACCACAGTCTGGAGCATCAGCGGGCGTTTAGTTAGAAAAGCTGTTAGTGTTTGTGGGGCACATTCTGCACGGCTGATGTAAATGAGGTGTCGGGGAGCAGATGTTCAGCCCGCCGGGACGGAGCAGGCTGGGGATGTCCTCGTTGGAAAGAAAAGACTGAAAACTGTTTCAAACTGATCCCATGGCTCTTTTCTCAACAAGCAGACGCCGAAACAACTACAATGTATGGCTGTCACTAACCATTATTATAGTCGACTTCTTCAATTGGCTGGAAAAAGGATTCTAAACATAGAAACAGCAGGAATTGTTTATTCTATTGTTGATTTAAAGATACAAAATTCTGCTTATTTTAATGCATTGGTTTTATACAGCGCTTTTTCAGACACTCAAAGACGCTTCACATGTGTCATTCTCTCTCTACTACTGACGCCACAGCTGCCCTGGGGCACACTGACAGAAGCGAGGCAACCAGTCTGTGCCATCGGCCCCTCCCACCACCACCAACCATTCACACACACACCAGACTCATTCTAGGCAGTGGGGAAGAAGTGTCTTGCCTAAGGACACAACGGCAGCAGACAGCGGGAATCGATGGTGAAAGTCTTGAGGTGGACTCGAACCCACAACCTTCTGGCTCAAAGGCCAATGCTCTATCAACTAAGCTGCTGACGCCTTTTTTTAGCCCCTAAACATATTGTTCAGATCAGTAATTTTGGTATTCCATGTTTTAGAATGTGAATAATTGGCTGAACATGTACAATTAAAAAGTGTAGTGACTACGTGAGACATTTTTGTATATCATCAATTTAAGGACAAAGTTGAAGATAATGTCATTTACTGAAATTAGCCCCAAAAAATGCTCTTTAATACAACAATGCTTTTGAAAAGTTATTATATTATTATACATGATACTCTTCTCTTCTAGGGGCGGAGCTACATGTTCAGATTCATGATATCATTGTGGATGTATCTGCGAACTCCAGGTCTGTTTTGAGGGAACAAAATGAAAACCTTGCATGAACTCATGGACCATTATTATAAAGTGTTACTAAGTTAAAGCATAAGACATGTTTGTTCCCATAACCACAAAGCTTTATGTCCATTTACTCTCATGGAACTACTGTAAAATATTGTGATTTATAACTTTGTGAATTTGTGTTATCTACATGGTTAAGAAAAACCTTATAGATTATGGTGGTGCTGACACTGGAGACACTCACATTGAAAATATGGTTCTTTTGCATTGTATTTTTTGTCTTCAAACTAACTAATAAGCCACAAAACCGTTTTTACTCAAACCGCACGTCAATAACCTGTGTCCATTATTGTACACATTAGGAAAACAAAAGCCAGGTTCAGACCTAGCCTGGTCGTACCACACCATAGTACAAATTACATTTCATACTAAGGTCTAGATTTGCTCCATTGACTCCGTGAACAGGTGGGAGGGGTTAACTCCTTTTGCAGATTGAAACGATTGGATCTGAGTTTACTGTGACATATGTAATGCGCCCGAGTCTGTTGTTAGCATTTAGCATTTAGCCTAGCTTTAGCCATCTCCTTTGCCGCTAACGGCGCCCGTAGGGAGTAGCGCCACAATCTTGACCAGCGATTACATTTGCTAAACATTCCTCTTGCTCCTGCTTCAGTTTCTTGATAGAACCAGACCGGATTACTTTACTATCGCATTCTTCGCCATTGCCAAACTACAACGTGCCCGTTCGACGCAAACTCTTGACGTCACCGGCACCGACCTACAACACCCGCCTCCCGCGCTCTCTGATTGGTCGGTCGAAATTCAACCGATTGTATTTGCTAACACAGAGACCAGACCCAGACGCTACATGCAGCTAAATGATGACTGAGCCCAGTGTACGGATGGATAAGACCAGGGTAGTTCAGACCGATCACCACATCGACAAAACTAAGCCTGATTCCATCTCTGTTTGTCTGTCACTGTTTTCCCTCTTACTTTTGAGTTACTTTACTTTTTAGTTTTGGCTGCTTGTTTGCAGATTGCTAGAGCCACCGACTGTCTGGTTACAGCTTAAGAGCTTTCAAATGATTGAAAGGTTTATGTGGATGTAGTGAGTTTGGGGTTGTGAGGTCTGAAAGAAGAGTCCTAACAAAGGCTTGTGTTGTTCTGAACACGTCTGAACAACACGTCTGAACACGCCTGAACACGTCTGAACACGTCTGAACACGTCTGAACACGTCTGAACACGTCTGAACACGTCTGAACAGGTCTGAACACGCCTGAACACGCCTGAACACAGCTGCACACGTCTGAACACAGCTGCACACGTCTGAACACGTCTGAACACGTCTGAACACGTCTGAACGCGTCTGAACACGAACACGTCTGAACACGTCTGAACACGTCTGAACACGTCTGAACACGTCTGAACACGTCTGAACACGCCTGAACACGTCTGAACACGTCTGAACGCGTCTGAACACGAACACGTCTGAACAGGTCTGAACAGGTCTGAACACGTCTGAACACGTCTGAACAGGTCTGAACAGGTCTGAACACGTCTGAACACGTCTGAACACGTCTGAACACGTCTGAACAGGTCTGAACAGGTCTGAACACGTCTGAACAGGTCTGAACACGTCTGAACACGTCTGAACAGGTCTGAACACGTCTGAACACGTCTGAACAGGTCTGAACAGGTCTGAACACGTCTGAACAGGTCTGAACACGTCTGAACACGTCTGAACAGGTCTGAACAGGTCTGAACACGTCTGAACAGGTCTGAACAGGTCTGAACACGTCTGAACAGGTCTGAACACGTCTGAACACGTCTGAACACGTCTGAACACGTCTGAACAGGTCTGAACACGTCTGAACACGTCTGAACAGGTCTGAACACGTCTGAACACGTCTGAACAGGTCTGAACAGGTCTGAACACGTCTGAACACGTCTGAACAGGTCTGAACACGTCTGAACACGTCTGAACACGTCTGAACACCTGAACACGTCTGAACACGTCTGAACACGTCTGCACACGTCTGAACACGTCTGAACACGTCTGCACA